TACCTCATTCCTACTTTCTCCCCATATCCTTCTGATCCCTTTAGCCCTAAGAATTACATCTAACTGCTTCTCGAAAACATTAATTGTAATGGTCTCAGCTGTTTTCTGTGGCAGAGAATTTTACAGGCTCAGCAGGTGAAGAAATTTATCCTCAACTCCATCCTAAATGGCATACCCCGCTAACCAATGCCCTGTACAACTTCAGCAAGACATCCCTGCTCCTGTCCTACTCTGTAAAAGCCAACATGCCATTTGTATTCTTCACTGCCTGTTGCACCTGCATGCTCTCTTGAACCATGATCTAACTCTAATTCAAAATTGTGGGGAACTTGCAGTTGATGATGTCTGTTATCCTTCTTTTTCTAAGTGGTTGAAAGGTGGTTTGGAAGGTTTGGAAGGTGGTGTCCAAGAAGCCTTGGTGAAATGCCGGAGTGTATCCTGTAGGTACTACAGGAGGTGTGTCACTGGTGGAAGAAGTGAATGGTCTTGCTGATAGTTGGACTCCCACAAAGTTGGGTGTTTTGACTTGGATACCTCTGATCCAGAAGGCCCATGTTCAAATCCCACCCACTCCAGAGGTGTGCAATAACATTCCTGGACAACTTGCTTTGAAAGCACCTACCCTGAAGAATTTGTGCAGTGATGTCTTGTGACTGAGATGATTGATCTGTAACAACCACAACCATCTTCCTTTCCGTTCAGCAAGACTCCAACCAATGGAGATTCCTTCCCCAATTTCCATCAAGTTCACTTTTACTAAGGCTTCTTGATGCTATATTTTGGAATTTATGTGATTCTACGTCAGTGGATTTGAAATTTCAATCTATAACTATTCAATGTCATCAAGTAAGTTCAATAAGAATATTGGAATGTGGAAGAAAGGTAAGTACGAGGAGTTGCGTTACAGGTCATTGTAATCTGATTGAAGACTGGAACATGCACAAGGACTTATATGCCCTACTGCTGTTCTGAGGAATTCAACATTGGTTGCCCATTTTGCAAACCACTCTTTTTCATAGCTATTTTAAACGTTGCTTATTTTTGATTGGTTCAGCATAGAGGTGCTCTGCTTTCCTCCACTAACCTACCCACTAGCACAAAAGTTCCTGCTTTACAAGTTTGAAGCAATTGCATGATGCTGTAGTAGATTTTGTTCAGGTTTTTCATATATGAGTGAATTCTAACTCACAGAAACAAGTTCAATTTCCTTCCTCTTCTGAGGATGTCTCATTGATGGATTATACTTGCGTGGTGTTAAGAGTCATCAAGGCCTACAGAACAGAAAAGGCTCTTTGGCCCATTAATTCTCCACCGGTTAAAACAACAACCTAGCTAGTTAATCTCATGTTTGAAATGACCTGTTATTTATCTGCAAAGCAGTCCCATTCTGTCCATAAAAAGTCCCCGAGATTCCAATTGCCTGCCATTTGAAAATGCCACTGTTCTCCCTGGCCAACATTCCTGTCGCAGGCCTGCTCTAGTGCTCCAGCAAGGTTCATTGCAAGCTGAAGGAACTACATTTCATTTTCCACATGGGGACCCTGCAGTCTTCACGACTCAACATTGTGTATAGGCCCTAAAATTATTAAACTCTTTCTTCCACTTCCTTAAACCACTCCCACACCCAAGGCCCTACCATGACAAGGGCTGCTTTTAGCATAGCCAATCCATTTTCACTTACTTATGGTCCCCATGATCCGCTTTTCTGTTTCCCTGGCATATTATCATCCATCTTTTTCCTGCCTAACTGTCCTCCTCCCTCTAGGCTCCATCTCTGCCTATCCATTCACTCCTACATCCCCTTCACCCCCTGTCTTCAGCACATACATCACTTTTTCCTAGCCATTATCAGTTGTGAAGAAAGAGCCACTGGATTCAAAACATCAACTCTGTTTTCTCTGCACAGATGCTGCTGGACCTGCTGAGTTTCTCAGCAATTTTTGTTTTTGTTTTTTTGCAGTTTTAAATCTAGAGTGTGGTTTGGTGTTCCTAATAAGAGGGTCCAAATATCCATCAGACTAATGACGTGACGACTTGGTGCCTATGCCTTTATGTGCAGTTGTGTGTTAAGAACGAGGCCCTCCACCTTTACATTGTCTATTATTACTTGCTGTCCAGCTTTATTTCTTTGGTGTGGTTAATTGAGTAAACATCATCCATGACCGCCTGCCCAATTAAGAACACATTTATGAAATGTGTTTAGGGTCAGGAGTGATGTACTAAAAGTGCACCCTGTGCAAATCAGCAAGCTGGACAATCTAAAAGGAACAAACAACGTCATCTTGGTCATTGATGAATTTGTTCATTAAATGCTAGATGGATTGTAGAATGTCTTTCAATACTCAATAGAAAATGCCATTTAGAAACTTCATAGAATCCCTACAGTGTGGAAACAGGCCCTTCGGCCCGACAAGTCCACACCAACCCTCAGAGCATCCCACCCAGACCTGTCCCCCTAATCTACACATCCCTGGACACGATGGGCAATTTAGTGTGGCCAATCCACCTAGCCTGCACATCTTTGGACTGTGGGAGGAAACTGGAGCACCCGGAGGAAACCCACACGGACATGGGGAGAATGTGCAAACTCCACACAGACAGTCACCCGACGGTGGAATCGAACCCAGGTCCCTGGTGCTGTGAGGCAGCAGTGCTACCCACTGAGCCACCGTGCTGCCCTAAAAGCTTGTTCTCCTGATTAATCTGCTGCTTAACTTTTTTTTGCCAAATTAAATTCTTGGAATGACTAATTGCTGCAAACTAAAGAACTGTGGATGCTGTAAATCAGAAACAAGAACAGAAGTTGCTGGAAAAGCTCAGCAGGTCTGGCAGTGTCTGTGAAGAGAAATCAAAGTTAATGTTTCGGGTCCGGTGACCCTTCCTCAGAACTGATGGTAGCTAGGAAAATGTTGATTTTTATATGCAAAAGATAGGGTGGGTGGGGGGGTAAGGAGTAAACAGTAGCCGGGGATAGAGCCCAAAGAGAGACGAGAGCAATTGGACAGACAAAGGAGTTGACAATGATCTGGCTAGGAGGGCGAATAGCTGTTAATGGGGACTGTTAGTGGCTAACAACAGGTAGTGTGTAATGGCAGGCTATGTGGTAACAAGGCCTGGTGTGTGAGGTAGGGGTTTGGGACATGGGAGAGTTTAGGCCCTAAAATTATTGAACTCGACATTGAGTCCAGAGGACTGCAGGGACCCCAAGCGGAAAATGAGGTCTTGTTCTTCCAGCTTGTGCTGAGCTTCACTGGAACACTGCAGCAAGCCAGAGACAGAGATGGTGGCCAGAGAACAGGGTGGTGCATTAAAGTGGCAGGCAACTGGAAGCTCAGGATCTTTTTTGCGGGCAGAATGTAGATGTTCTGTGAAGCGGTCACCCAGTCTATGCTTCGTTTACCTGATGTAGAGGAGACCACATTGTGAGCAGTGAATGCAGTCGACTAGATTGTGGGAAGCGCAGGTAAAGTGCTGCTTCACCTGGAGGTATGTTTGGGCCCTTGTATACTGAGGAGGTAGGAGGTAAATGGGCAGGTTTTACACCGTCAGTGATTGCGGGGGAAGGTGCCGTGTGGGGAGGGGGCGGTGTTGGGAGTGAGGGAAGAGTGGACCAGGGTGTCCCGAAGGGAACAGTCCCCGCAGAAGGCAGACAAGGGAGGGGAAGGGAATGTGTGTCTAGTGGTGGCATCTCACTGGAGGTGGTGGAAATGACAGCTGATGATCTTCTTTTATGTGGATGCTGGTGGGATTGTAGGTAAGTGCAAGAAGAGGGAAGAGAGGGGCTGAGGCCAGGGGTGTGGGGGATGGGTCAGACCCGGTTGAGGGCCCTGTCAGCAACGGTGCTGGGGAACCCTTGTTTGAGGAAGAAGGTGGATATTTCGAAGGCTCCCTTATTGAAGTTGGCTTCGTCGGAACATATGCAACGGAGACGGAGGAACTGGGAGAATGGACTGAAGTCTTTACTGGAAGCAAGGACGTATAGTCCAGGTAGCTGTGGGAGTCGGTGGGTTTATAGTGGATATTAGTCGCCAGTCTATCTCCAGAAATGGAAACAGATGTCGAGGAAGGGAAGGGAGAAGTCAGAGATAGACCAGGTGAAAGTGAGGGCGGGGTGGAAATTGGAAGCAAAATCAATTAACTTTTCCAATTCCGGATGAGAGTGGGAAGCACCGATGATATCATCGATATACCGGAGAAAGATTTGTAGGTGGGGGCCAGAATAAGACTGGAACAAGGAATGCTCCACGTACCCCACGAAGAGGCAGGCATAACTAGGGCCCATGAGTAGGGGAAATCAAGGGTTACAGGAAAAAGGCAGGAAAGTGGATGTGAGGAATATCAGATCAGCTAGGATCCTACTGAATGATGGAGCGGGACCCGAAACATTAATTCTGATTTCACAGATGCTACCAGATCTCCTGCGCTTTTCCAGCAACTTCTGTTTTTGTTAATGACTAATTGCTAATGGCCAACATTACAATCTTTGAGACTTCTTGTGGGCAATTTTCTTCTCAATTAAACTTAAAGCAGCCAATGCAGTTGATTAGTTATGAGATGGAATCAGAGCCAGAAAATCTGAGTTCGAGCCGAACCTGCCCTGGAGATGTGTTAGAAGGTGTTTAAACAAGATAATTGCAACTTTTCAGATATTTTCAGTGACATAGTAATCCAGGACCTCCAGGCTAACATCCTGGGGCTCAGTGGTAGTGACCTTACCCCCGGACCAGAATGTCTGGGTTCAAGTCCCACCTGCCCGGAGGTGAGTTTGAACAGGATGATTAAATTGTTGAAAAGGTTGTAATTGCAGCATTAGGAGGTTATTAATTTTCTTATTGTTTTGTTAACTCTATAAAGTCTGTTCAACCTGACTTGAAATTGCAGGAAAATTCAAAGCTGAATTTCATATTTTAGTTTCCAATGTATTTGAATGGTTTGCTTTTAAAAGCTGGGCTAAACTTTGAAATGCTTACATTTGAAATCCAGTTGTCTCTTTCCTTCAGCCCTTACCTGAATTGGAGGGACGTGCAGCATATCATTGTAAGAACATCACGCTCTGGCCATCTGAACGCTCCAGACTGGAAGAGCAATGCTGCTGGATACAGAGGTAAAACTAAATTGTTACAAAGTTGCAGATTGTAGCTCCTTGGAAACTAATAACTAAAATAAATTGTGTTTTTTATATAAATGCTGTTTCATGACCTCAGCAAATCTTTAAGGATTTTAATGTTTAGCAGCTAATCTTAGGATACCAGTTTGGGAATCTCCATGATGGCTGATAGCTGAGCAGATTTACACTCTTGCCAAGTTATGCAAATTTGAAACAGCATAACTGCTGTCACTTAACTAAATTAAAACTTAAAACTATTTTAAAATCTGGGTTTATTTAGTCCCATTTTCTCAAATAATGTGTTGCATGAATTCATCCTGCTGAATTACATAACCATAAGCACAGTCCTTGAGTCACAGGCACAATGTGCTTAACCTGCCTAGAGAGATCTGCACTGCATCGAAGGTAAAGGTTACCATAAGAAATAGGCACAGGAGTAGGCCATTCAGCGCCTTGAACTTGGTCCATCGTTGAGTAGGATGCTAGCTGATCTGACAATCCTCACATCCACTTTCCTGCCTTTTCCCTGTAACCCTTGATTTCCCCTTCTCATAAAGAATCTATCTATCTCAACCTTAAAGACACAGAAGGACGCTGTCCCCTCTCTGTAGCAGGGAGTTCCAGTGACACTCAACCCTTTGAGACAAGAAATTCCACCTTATCTCAGTCTTAAATTGTCATGCCTTTATTCTGAGACTATGCCCTCTTGCCCTGGACTCTCCCATGAAATGAAACATCCTTTCAGCATTCACCCTGTTAAGCCCCTTGCTTTCCAGAAGTTAAAATAACACTGAATTGTTTATTTGAAGCACTTTTTGTGTGATCAACTTCTAACTAACAGTTATTGCATTGTTGAAACTTGGTACTTACAATGCAATTCAAACAATGTAATCTCCGAACCTAACATTTCACGGTCTATGTTTCAGTTAATCAAGTTCAAGTGTTAGTTATAGAGTTAGTGAAAGAAATGTTTAGCTAGAGTTTGTATCTTTTGCTGTCAAGCATTCCCAAGCATTGTTGAAGGCACAATGTGCCAATTGAGACTGATTTGACCCTTGAATCCAACTAACCTCTTCACATCTGGCATTCTTAAGGTCTTTCAAGGATTTTCTAATCCACCTATCCAGAGTTGTTGTTATGCATCTCTGGAGCATGTAGGACTTGACCCCAGGCCTCCTGGCTCAGAGGTAGGGACACTACTCCTGCAGCTTTGCACCCTGATTTGTGTATACACAGGTTCACTTTTGGCACAAGGTTTAAATGCCACAGCTGGCTCATACTACTAATTTACAAGCTGTTGTCACATTGTTTTGATCCATGAGGCAAATGGTGTTATAACTGGTCTATCCTAAAATTAAGGGAATGATGTCAGACTTAAACTATATAGTTTTAAAGAATGGCCTTGGTCCCCTAGTAGCTTTGAAATTTTCTAAGTAGTTATTTTCCCTTCTAAAATGAAGGGCTGTTTGTGCGCATCTCCAGCTGGAAGCCAAACCCTTGCATGTGGGACCTTTTGAAGTTTATTTCTTTCAGGCAGCCAAACATCAGCTGTCTGGGAAGTCTTCCCCATGGCAACCATAGTTCCTGACATGATATGTTTTGTCTCGACCAACGGTGTTCCATATGAGAAAAATACTTCAGGCGTGCCATATATGATTTGCAATAAATGTTGTTGCTGGCATTTTACTACTCTTTACATTTGCATTTTAATTACTACTTGTTGTAGTTTTCAATTGACTTCGCTAAGCTTTTTAAACTGCAAATAGAATGCTTTTTGTTAACTCTTTAAACACTGAGGTTCCTTTTTCCTGCACCTAAATGAAGGTACTCAGTGCAGTGCTGAAGTAAATAGCAATAGTTGCATTTAAATCTATCATACTGGAAGCTGTTTCCCATCTTTAATATATATTAAACTTAAACCAATACACATTAATTATATTTATTACATTTGAGCTGTTGGACTTTTAACTGCAAAGTTCTGTTTCTCTTTACATCCTCTTGAAAGTGTTGAAAGTTTTCAAAATTATTTGCAAAGCCCTCATCTTGTGTATTCTACCGCCCATAAAAATGCCATGCTAACTTGCTTACTTACTGAGATATCTTCACTGGTTTTCTCACAATTGTTGTTGCACCTTAACCCAGTGGCAATTCTTCACGCTTTTGACTAGAAATTTCATGTTACTGTAGTTGTTTACTTACCTGTGCCAAATTGAGCTGAAGCTTATTTTGTTCTATTAAGGTGTCAGTGCTGGCAGACACCTTCCACAATGAATCTAAGAAAAAGTCATTCCTCAGTCTTGGCCCTCTTATTACAACTGCTAATATGCCTCATACTAAACCAGACCCGGCCTCGTCCTTATTCCATTAAGGTGTCTGTGCTAGCGTTTAGATGTGGAATGTCAACTAGGTGTGGAATCTTTGGATCTTTGTTCTGTTAATCCGGGAGTGCTAAGGATAATTGTATTACAACTTTTAACCAAATTGGAAGTAATAAACTTTTCTTAGTCATTTTATATTCAGTGTTATAACCAGACTTTAGTAACAAGAAAAGGTTTTATTTTTCTAAAATTTCATTCGTATTTGAAATTTGTTTCCGTAATGGCACAGCATGTAAAAGTAGTAGTCCTGAAGAAGGATAATACTCAAAATGTTGACATCTCCTTTCCTCCAGATGCTGCCTGGCTTGCTGTGTTCTTCCAGCCTCCTGTTTGTCTATCTTGGATTCCACCATCTGCAGTTCTTTTTATCTCTAACCAAGTTAAAAGTCTGATTGTTTAACATCACTTCTGGAGAGTCCACTAACTTTTAATAACTCTTTTTATCAATTTATTATTTAGTATTTAATAAATCTTTATCAATATTCTAATGAAACATAAATTCGTATTGGAATTAGAGAATTTTAAAAACTTAATTTTTGACAGGAATGGGAAGCAAGTGTGGTATAAACAAATCAAGTGAGTTTTAAAGGGCTGAGTTTCCCAGCAGGCACTGGGTTTGTATGCAGATCCTGGTTTCTGTAATTGAGGCTTCCTACCTGCATGTTGTTCTGGAGTCAGCAAGTTAATAAGTCACTTTCAGGTTCCCTATCCAATTACGGCTGGTCGGTGCTTTCTTGGCTCTTAAATGGTATGATTGGCAAGTGTCCATCTCATTGAAGTTTGCAGGTGACTTTCTTTCATGTCTCCCCAGGTGGTGGGAATGGTTTGGAGTGTTGCCCCAGCACAGTACGCCCCAACCCCATTTCCAGCTCGCCACAGGCTTGGAAAATCTAGCCCAAAGTGCTTGGAGAAGAACCAGTGAAATTACAGAGAGTGGAACTGATGGGAACCTGGAAATAAATATTTTAAGTCAGTAGATTTAAAATCAGTCCAACACCATTTGGTCTTAGAATATTCCATATTCAAAGTGCTCTCTTTTTTTTAAATTGAAGGACTGTTCTGATTAATCTGTTCTCCTAACTATTTCTTTGAGTAGCCAAGCTCCTTTTAAGAATAGGGTGTACTAATTGTCTGCAAGAAGAATGAGGCTTTGCCTAAAAACTGTCTGTCACAGTTAATGAAATGTCAGTGCTGAATGAAATATTTATAATTACAATCAATTGGAGTGGAGCTGCAAGGTTGTCCAGAGTGCATAACCTTTCAACAAGCTCTAGACTAATGTTGAATACTTTTCAATGAAACCAAGTGTGTGAGCCATATGGTAAGAGATTGGGCTGGGTCTGGTTTAGTTTGAGGAATATAGCAGTTGTAATAAAAGAACCAAAATTGAGGAATGACTCCTTAGATTCATTGTGGAAAGTGTGGATTTGACAGCTGAAAACAGAAACATCAACTGTCTACTGTAAGGTGGGAAACAGGTGCTTGCTGCATGCACAGTGTGAGTTGAGACATTTGGATGTTAAGTACTCACGCTGCTCCTCATGTTCAAGACATTTTAGCTGGTAACATAATTTTGAAAAGTCTCAAATTTTTCATGGTTTTCATTTCCATTAGTTATATTGGAACACAGTGTGCTGCTTAAATTAATGAAATCTGTTGGTTGGAGGAGAGGAATGAGAAAACCATCTTGTGTAACTTTTGTAGTGCATCATCGCCAGCACTACTTCAGCATGCAAGAAATAGACCAAGGCAGCCTCCAACAATTATGGTCTTGTTTTAAATTGTTTATGGGATGTGGGTGTTGTTGGCTAGGTCAGCATTTATTGCCCATCCCTAATCCCAGGGAAATTGTGCAATCAAGAGTCAGTCACATTGCAGTGGATCTGGTGTCACACATAAAGGTGTTACGTGACCAAGGTAAGGATGGCAGACTTCCTTCCCTCTAGGATATTAGTGAATCAGGTGGGTTTGTACAAAAATTGGCAATGGTCATGCGTTCACCATTAGACAAGCTTTTTCCAGATTTATTTATTGAATTCAAAAGTTCACGATCTGCCATAATGGGATGTCACAAAAATATTAACCAAAATGTTATTGCTATGCCATTGTCTCCACCTCCCATCAATCTTGCTGATATGTAAATTCCACCTTGCCCATGGCTACAAGTTATTGATTGTTGTTGCATATGTGTGCTGTTCAAAATTTACTGTGATGAGCAGGTGAAGGACGTGTAGAGTCCCTACAGTGTGGAAGCAGGCCAATTGGCCCAACAAATCCACACCAACTCTACAAAGAGCATCACACCCAGACTCCCCCGTAACCCCGCATTCCCCATGGCTAATTCACCTAACTTAGGCATCCCTGGACACTATGGCCAATTGAGCATGGCAAATCCACCTACACATCTTTGGACTGTGGAAGGAAACCGGAGCACCCGGCGGAAACCCACACAGATACTGGGAGAATGTGCAGATTCCACATAGACAGTCGCCTGAGGCTGGAATCGAACCTGGGTTCCCGACACTGTGAGGCAGCATTGCTAACCACTGAGCCACCATGCCGTATCTTTTCCTTCAGACTCACTGACTGGAATTATTGGTTTCTAATTTATATCGATTATAACTTAAACTGTCCTTCTTCAATAATAATTGAATTAAGGTGTAGTCAAGTGGTGATGAAGATGGGTACTCTAGTGAAACAATGTTGTAAGAGTGGTTTATTATTACAATTAAACCAAGTGATTTACCCACAACTACTTAAAAGGGATAATCCTAATGATTATGCATTTTAGTCTTAAAACTACTATTACCAAGAACAGGAAGAACTAGAATAAGTTATAGTTGTATGTTGAAGCTGTGCAATGGGCTATGCAATTGATAATCAACAATGAGGTGAGGAGAGCTATCTTTTTCTCCAGTTCAGAAGGGCTATGATTTTTTACAATTATTGATTGAAATTCCATGTTAACAGTGAGCCACTTATATGGATTTGGATTAATGGATGCAGAAGCTATGGTGAAAGAAGCAGAACGTTGGAAATCAGTCCCACCCCAACATAGCTGTGTGGAGAACCCAGACAAACAAAGCAGGTACCCAATATGTGCAAACAAAGGATATGGTGAACTTGATTGACCAATGATTTCAGAGCTCTATTTTTCTGCAATTATCTAATTTTAGTAATGTTTTACCCTTCTTATTAATCTTCATTTAATACTTCAGTTTCCTTTTGTGACAAGATATTGTGCAGTTTGAGAAGAATTAACATTAAAGAGAGAAAACAGTGCCTAATTAGACAAACTTATTTGGAGCCTGCTGGTTTATTTTCTTTCCCCGTTGTATGAGAATTATCTGAACTAACCAGCCACATTTTAACTGAGTTGAAAAGCTGGGGAATATGCACTCTCCTGCATTCTAGAGAAGGTTCAAAACAAACAATGGAGTTGGTCAGAATATAAAAAAATAGCAGAGAATGAATAAAAGGCACTTCAGGATGAAGGCATTAGAGTGTGAAAGGAAGCTACCAAGGAATGTAAAAATACATAGCAAGAGTTTCTGCAGGTATTTAAAAAGGAAAGGAGCAAATAAGTGTTGATACTCTGGAGTTATCAGGAGACAATAAGGAAATTACAGATGAAATGAACAAATATTTTATTTCTGTCTTCATTATAGAGAATAAAAATACTCCAGTTATAGTAGTAAATCCAGGAGATGGAAGGAAAAGAGAAACTAAGTGAAATTATAGTCATGAGGGAAGTGGAAATAATACTAAGCAAACTGATGGAACTGTAGGTTGGCCAGGCTCCTGATCCAAATGGACTTCATCCTAGGCTGTTAAGAGGTTGCTAATGAGGAAGTAAATGTGTTAGTTTCTAGACTCTGGAAGGATTTCATTGGACTGGAAAGTAGTTACTAAAAACTGTCTTTTCAAGACGGGAGTCTTTTCAAGTTAGCTTGATGTATGTCATTGGGGAAGATGTTAGAATTGATCATTAAGGAGATTAAAGCTGTGCACTTATTAAAATTCAAGCTCATTAAGAGGTTTGAGGGTTTATGGAAAAAGTTGAAATCATGCTAAGGAGTCCGGAACATCTTTGACACAATTAGGTAAGGTAATGGAGATGAGTTTTTAATTTGGTGATTTATCATGGGGGTTTGCTCTGCAAAGTTAAGTTGACCCTCATCATGAGCTGCACTGTGTAATTTTATGTATGCATATCAGAACATGTAATGTAGACAGTTCCACAGTATATCAAAAATATTCTTAAAAAATCATCTGTCATGTTTTTCTGCTCTGATTTAATTGGACTAGCAGATCACAGTATGTTTGTTGAAGAAAATAAACCCTGCCCTCTAGTTTTAAATAAGTCTGTCATGGGAAAGAAATTCTCACAATCTGCTCTGTCTGTGCCTCTCGTAATTTCATGTGCTTCCATCAGATCCCCTTCTCGGCCTTCTCTGCTTCAAGGAAAACAAACCCAGTCTATCCAGTCTCTCCTCATAATTGAGACTTTTCATCCAAGTCCACATCCTGGTGAATGTCCTCTGCACCCTCTCCAGTGCAATCATGTCCTTCTGATAGTGTGGCAACCAGAACTGCACAAATATTCCATCTGTGGCCTATCCAATGTTTTATAAAGTTGTACAAGATTTCTTTGCTTCTATTGTCTACACCCTGGCCAAAGAAAGCAAACATCCCGTATGCCTCCTTCACCACTCTGCCTGCCTGTGCTGACACGTTCAGGGATCTATGGACATGTACACCAAGGTCCCGTTGTTCCTAAGTATTCCCTAGGGATCTACTATTCACGGTGTATACCCTTCCCTTTTTGGACCTCCCAAAATGCATCACCTCTCAGTTATCAAATTCTGTCTGCCATGCTCTGACCAATATCAGACTTCAGCCTGAGATCTTCCTCCTTGCTATCAACAACACCGCCACCAATTTTTGTCATCTGCAAACTTGCTAAAGTACACAACAAACAGCAGGGGCCCCAACACACATCCCTGTGATACCACTGGTCACAGACATCAATTACAAAAACAACCCTCCACCACCAACCTTCACCTCTTATTTGTAATCCAGTTTTGGATTCAGTTTGCCAACTTGCTTTGGATCTTACCTTTTAGACCAGCCTACTATGTGGGACCTTGTCAGATGCTTTACTGAAGTTCATGTTAACCACATCAACTTTCTTACCCTCATCAATATACTTAGTTACTTTTCAAAAATCTCAATTAAATTTGTCAGACAGTATCTCCCTTTAACAAATTCATGCTGACTGTCCCTGATCATTCCCTCCCTTTCCAAATGTTGGTAAATCATGTTCCTCAATTTTTTTCCAACAATTTTCCTACCACATGATGTCAGGTGAACTGGTTATAATTACCTGGCCTATCCCTGCTGCCCTCTTGAAACACATTAGCTATCCTCCAATCATCTGGGCCTCAGCAATCACCTCCCCAGTGTCCCATAGCCTGGGATTCATCTCATCAGGCTCCAGAGATTTATGCACATTTATGCCCACTAAAACATCTAATACTTCCTCCCTCTTAATTTTAACATGTTCTAGAGCCTCACCATCCCAAAGTAAATCTCAGGCTACAAAGTCTACTTCTGTTCTGCGAGTACAGATGACAAGTATTCATTTGGAGACATTACCAACGTCGACCGGCACCAAATTGCCTCTATGGTTTCTAAGAGGTCCCACCCTTTACCTCTTACTCTTCTTTATTTATAAAAAGCCTTGGGGTTTTCCTTGATCCTATCCGCCAAAGATACTTCACAGCCTCTCTTTGCCCTCTTAATTTATTTTTTTTGTAAGCAATCCCCTACACTCTATTTTGTAGCATCTCCCCCGTTTTTAATGTGCTGTCCCTGACACATGCTTCTTTTTCTTATTTATCAAACTCACAATATCCCTTGATGTCCACACCTCCCTCGACCTGCTGCACTTATTCCTCACTTTTAGAGGAACGCAATGGCCGCTACTTTTAAAAGATTCCCAATTTCCAAATGTACACTTACCTGCAATTAGCTGCACCCAGTCTGTATTTGCCAGACCCTGTCTAATGATATTGAAAATTGTAGACACTTAGTGCAGAAATTGTCTTTATCCCTTTCTGTAATCACTTTGAAACTTAGAGTTATGGTCACTATCCCCAAAATGCTGAAACTTCGACCACTTGATTGACTTCAGTCCCTAGAATTAGGAATAGCACTGTCCCATCTCTAGTTGGGCTATCTATGTACTTGCACAAAAAGCTGTCCTGGATGCACTTTAAAAATTCCACCCGATCTAATCTTTTCACATTAAGGCAACTTCTGCATAACTGAAGTGTATCATCCCTGAGGCCATTCTCATCCTTCCTGTAGTGTGGTGATCAAAACCGCACACAATACTCCAGCTTAGACCTAACCAATAGAGAAATTCTTCATAACTTCCCTGCTGACGCACTCATGTGCCTCAGTTCATGAAGTATAGGATACTGAATAGCTTATTAACAGGTCTAACAACCTAACCTTATGTATGTGTATACCCAGTCTGTCTGCTCCTGAGCACATTTTAAAGTCGTACCTTTTTTTTTAATATAATCCCTCCATGTTCTTTGTACTCAGATGCATTAGCTTACATTTCTACACATTTGATTATACATAGAATCTCTACAGTGTGGAAGCAGGCCATTCAGCCCATCGATTCCACACTGAACCTCCGAAGAGCATCCCAGCCAGACCTACATCCATACCCTATAACCCCATATTTTCCAGGCTAATTCACTTAGCCTGCACATCCTGGATACTATGGACAATTTAGCATGGCCATTCCACCTAACCTGCACAAGTTGGAGTGTCCGAGGAAACCAGAGTACCTCAGCCATGCCTCTTGTCTTTATATAAATATCCTCCTTAATCCCAATCAACATTATTCAATCTATTAGCACATTTTTTTTCTATTGATGTACTGAAGGTTAATCCCAAAGTCATTTATATGTTACGTGTCAATTTTTACTCATAATCCTGTGTGCTGCATGTATTTGAGCTTGATATTCAGCTTGGTTCTCAATTAAATTTACTGCCTGGAACTTGTCATAAGCACCTCTTTTCTTCTTTAACGTAATTTCTGTGTCTGCCATCGTCCAAGGAGCTCTGAATTTGTTTGGCCTCCCTTTCCATTTTGAGGGAATATATCTCAACTGTACCTGAATCATCTCTGAGCCTTTTGGGTCAGGAGCTGTTTCTACCACCTACATCTGGCTCCAGTCTATTTGGTCCAGTCTTGTTCTTGCTAATTGAAACCTGCTGTTTGCCAGCTTATACAATCCAGAGTAAGAATAGTGTCATTTCCCATGGTCGTATGAACTACTTGGCCCACCTAGTTTCTAAGAACTAGGTCTAACAGTGCCTACTTTCTTGTTGGACTGTAGGAAATTCTTCTGAGTACAATCCAGGAATGCTTGTCCCATGCTGCCCTATATGCTACAGGTAGTTTGAGTCTCCCATTGTAACTACTACATGCAGTTAAGATCTCTGTAACTTCCTTTTAGATGTGTTCCTGTATATCTTTCCTGCAAATTGGTGGCCTACAGATTACGCGGAGCAATGTAATTGCACCGTTCTTCTTTCCTTCGCTCTAGTCAAATCGTTTCCATCCTTGAACCCACTGAAATATCATCTTAGTTGTTCAGACTTGAATATTGCTGAGAAGAGAGAGATTGTCCAAGCTTTACATTAGAGGAATTATGACATTGCTGCTTTTTTCATTCATTCATGAGATGTTAGCTTCACTGATTATTGTGCATCTCTGATGGCCCTTGAGAAGGTGGTGGTGGTGAGCTACCTCCTTGAACCACAACAGTCTATTGACTGTAGGTAGACCCACACTGCCATTAGGAGGGAGATGTAGATTTTGACCCAGTGATCCTGAAGGAATGGCGATGCACCTCCAAGTCAGGATTGGCTTGTAGGGGAAATTGCAAGTGGTGATGTTCCCATGTATTTACTGCCCTTATTCTTCTAGATTAGTGGTCATGGGTTTGGAGGGAACTGTTTAAGGAGTTTCAGTCGATTTATACAATGCATCTTGTACATACT